CGCACGTCGTTCTCTAGGCATTTTGGACTATGGACAGAGTGTTGAATTTAACTTCAAATGCACGATCCACATAATTTACATAATTTATTTTAGCTTAAATGAAATTAACTGAGCAGAGAATAATGTAAACAACTATCCGTCAACTATATAATAAACAACTATCCGTCAAACACTTTATCACGCACCGTTGCTATTGGTTTGAAGTACATGCTATGTATAATAGATGGCGCTGTATGTGAAAAACGATTTCCCCACTTTTCTGTTGAATTTTTCCTGAATTTTCCAGAATTTTCTTTGCTATAAACCTCACGGAGCCCAAGACCTTTCCAACGAATGCAAAACCGTGGAAATCGGTTCGTGCGTTCTCGAGTTATAGCGTCAGGGAGGAAAACCGGACTTATTTTTATATAATAGTATAATAATATGCAATAAAATAATAAGAATATCAAGGCTGGGCAAGTTAACAATTTTTTTTAACTCAGTTATGTGTTAATATTCATTATTCACCAATAACCAAAATTTAAATTAACTATAGGTTAACTCAGCTCATTAAAAGCAAATACTTAATGCATATTTGTTAACTTTTTAGTTTTTATTAAGTTAAAAAAGTTAAATTGTTTATACAACGCTAGCGTAGGTACTTCATTTTTTACCAACTCAAAACTAAATTATAGAGTATAGTGTTTATACTTTATACAGTATTTCCATAAGTTACATTCGATTATTCGAATGATATACATTTTTAACTTTAAACAATTCATATTTATTATACATATTGATTGTTTGAATAATATTATTATATTTACTTTTAAAATATACATATAAAAAAAAAATAAAAAAATATATACATATATATAAATATACAATTATGATGTGAGTAATTTGTATCGTACATATTACTATATTTTTATTTATTGTATTTGTACAGGTTATTAACTGTAAATATGTATGTGTACTTACTACTTATGTTAATTTGTTTAATACTAATTTATTGATTATAGGTACCTACCTGGCTACCTATTTAGTAACGAGAATTACGATGACTGATCACTAAAGCACGGATTTGTATGTTTTTACATATTTTTTCATTTTAATATTTTGATTTAACATTTTAACAATTTTGACGAGTCATAATAATTGGACTTGACTACTAAATTTTTATTTTGCAGTTTTTTTGCGTATTTTACTTAAATGCATATTATTTGGCTATAAATGCATATTCCGATATTCGTTGCATATTTTAATGAATGCGAAAAAATTTAAGCCGTTAGACGCTGAAGTAATAAGCTCTGGTTATATTAATTTAAAATATGTCCAATGAAAATTTTATTGCCTGTAGCAGTAGCCGCACAGTAGCTGTAATTACGATGATTTGGGTTTTTGGGTCTTTTACGGTAGCCGAATACGGTTAATAGTTGTTGCATGCATTATTATTGTTATATTGATATCTAGGTAGGTATTATAAACCAATTTAGTAATTGTTTGCATCAATAATATTGTTTATTAGTCTAGGGCGCTTATTTCAATAAGCAAAATGCATTTTTTTTTTGGTTGATCTTAGACAATGCTTTCCAAGTACATAATTCATTTCATGTAGGGAGTGCTTCAAAGCTAAACATTTTATTTTGCATTCTTTGCATATTTTTATTTTTCTTTTTAGACCATTTTTAGCATTAATGGGTAATTTTTGTTGGTTTTAATGCATATTTGTTCAATTTGTCACCCGTTATCAGACATATAACAAATAATTAGTGATTTCGTGTTACACCATGGTCTTAGTTTGTATGTTTTTATTTCATGTTCGTAATTTTAATAGGGATAAATATTGTGTTAAATAATGCCCCCATCCCCCAAACAAAAAAAAAAAATCATGAATAAATTAATATGGTATTTTTAGGTCATTTTTCTAGGTAAAATTCATTTCTTAAGGCATTAATTAAATTTTTCACATTTTAAAAGCATTTTTTACTCCATTAATTAAATTTTTTAGGTCATAATTGCATTTTTCCTAAGGCATTTTTACGAAAAATTGTCCAGGTGTAATATAATTTTAAGAACATAATATTCAATTAAGGTGAGCGTATTCCGGTATACGGATCTACAGTCAATAGACATACTGAAAGCACTATAACCAACATTTTTGTTCTCATAAAATAGAAATCCCCTACCTATATAAATAACATTTAATTTAAAAATGAACCATAACTCGCATAAGTCCATAAGACTATAACCAATTTAATTTAAATAATATTCATTTTTGACCATAACTATATATTTTTGAACATTTAGTCCATAAACAATTATACTATATAGTGGATAACCCGGGGCAAGACGAGAAACTTAATATTAAAACTCGTTAGTATGTTGAATTTTTCAGAAAATTAGATGAAACTTGAATGCATATAATATTCTAAAGAGGTTTTAAAATTGTTATTATTATTAATAATTATGGAGGGATAACGCTGTTCCGTCTTACCCCGTCTTTTACCCCGTCTTACCCCATCTACCTCATCATGTCCATGTACCTCTATAACTAAAAATTAGGATGTAATTTTTATGTAATTTATTAATTTTGGTGTATTTATATTATGATGTATTAGTTATAAATGTATAATATGTTTACTATTGACTATTAACCTATTGACTTATTGTACCTATTATTTTATATAATTATGACTTCATAAGTATTTATGTATATACAGTTCGCCTATAGTGAATTGTGTTTACAGAGTATAGACGTTTTACGTTTAATAACTATAATATAAAACTATATAACTATTTATAACTATATATGTATAATGTATATAGTTAATAAAATTCGATTGAAAATATAAAAGTATCATGTATATCTTTGATACATGCATCTTGTATCAGTTGTATCTTTTCTACATTCACAATGTACATAATATCTTGTATCTTGTATCTTGTATCTTTAACAGTGTTGTAAAAAATACTTTTTAAAAGTATTTAAGTAATTACTCAAATACTCTTAAAATAAAGTATTTAAAATACCACCCAAATACTATAAATAGTAAAGTATTTGAGTAATACTCAAATACTTTTCAGAAGTATTTGAAATAATCTTCAAATACAAAAAAAATAATTCTTTTTACTTTTTAGTTCTGAAATAATTTGTTATAATCAAAAATGTGTTTATTGCATTTTAAAAACATGATTCGTTCAATAATCAAAATTCTGATTAGTCATGTTAGTTGCACTACAACAATGAACTTTTCTCAACAGAGTTATTATATTAATTTAAAGCTATATTATGTATTTGGATTTTGGATATCTCATACCGTCATCGATAATCATAATAATTGATAAAAATTTTCTTGATAAATAGGTAGCCACTAGCCAGTAGGTACTAATAATTATTAACATTATTTTCGTATAGTTAAATAATTATAAACTATAAAATATAATAGCCGTTAAGTAGAAGCTTTTTACATATATATTTTGTTAACTTAAGCTAATAGTGATACTGACTACAGATGTATCTTTTCGATCATCGTCGACAATAAGCTGTCTCCTAGAGAATAAAAAAAATTAAATAAAAGTATTCAATAAAATAGTATTAAATAGTAAAAAAAAGTATTTAAAATATAATCCAAATACTTCAAAATAAAAAGTATTTAAAAAAGTATTCAATACCGAAAAAAGTATTTGAATACTTTTACTCAATTACTTTTACTCAAATACTATACAACACTATCTAAATACACTAAATGCATGTATTCTGTATCCTGATACTTTTATTGAGTATCTTGCCTAACCATGATGGCATATTTACTAGGAATCAAAATTTCCAAAAAACCCGCATTTTTTACCGTTTTTTCGGAAAAATTGAGAAAATTTTATTTCTTTAAAATTTCCGGAAAAATGGTTTTGACGAAAAAAACTAGTTTTTTCCTGAAAAAATGAAAAATAATAATATAAAAATATATTATCGTCTCTAGCATTTCTGCCATGATGTTTTGTTTTTACGTATTTTCCTGATAATTATTAATTAATATTGTCAATCGGGCGCTATCTATATATTTTCTACAACTTGCAAGTAATATTAATTATATAAAATTTAAAAATAAAGGTGGTTTATTTTCGGGGAAATACACCCTCCCACATAAATACCAATTTGATAATATGTGACTATGTTATTTTTAGAACAAATATATTCCGGTTTATCTGCGACCGGAAATAACGGCTAGTCGTACGTTGCAAAAACGAAATCTATATCATCCAATGTAGTCTGTGAGGGGTTAAACCCTCGTTGTTCTGCAGTCAGATACCAGTTGTTTCGTTTCAAGTTGTAGCAATGAAAATCGTAGCACGAAAACTTATTCAGTGGCGGCGCCAGGGGTGAGCCAGGGTGGGCCCGGGCCCACCTTAAAAAGTCTCCGGTCCCCCCTGTGGCCCACCCCAAAAATTAAATTTAATCATATTAGAATACTAAAAAATATTTCATGAATAAATCATGATTTATTAAAATATAAAAATATTAAGTCATAATAGATGGCGTGAACAACATTTTGAATGGGTTGAAAACTATATGCACTATAATATGCTTTCAAGCCTCATAAATAACGTGTATTTTCCAGCGGCTGAATACGAAAATAATAAATTATTATTAAATATTCATTGGTATTGAGTGTAATTATGGGTTAGGGAGCATAAAAATCAAAAAGTGTTTAGGTACATGAATATATATTTTGTTAGCAAATAAATACTATTAATACAATACATGTTTACAAATCATTGTTTTAGTAAGTTTACACGTAAGTTCACCCCTCTGCGAAATTGCCTGTCATCACTATTGTTTATATATATATATATCAAGTCAACAATTTGGCCCTCCCTAAAAAATTTGGCCCCTGCCTGGCCCACCTGGTATTAAAGTTCTGGCGCCGCCACTGAACTTATTGCTTTTGAACTTTGACTTATCAATGTCATTAAATAACGCCTACAAAGACATAGTTTAAATACAATTATAAGGAAATTAATTACATTGGTTGCATTACATTATTGACCAATGGGTCCGTTGTTCTAATCCAGAAGCTGACGAAATTCTTCACTTCGTCGGATTTCGGCGGTTCTCGAAATAAAATGGCGAAAATTTCACGTACACTATTAGCGAATCCTCCACGATGCACTGACCGTAGGTAGTTCGCGTACCAATAGAAATCTTGAGGCCCAACATCTCCGACCGGTTTTCCAAGTGTTTCTGCTATAAATTCTCGAACAATGTATGAAACTAGATGTAAGAAATACATTTCTATAGCGTAGAGTAATTTTTAAATAAATCTTACGGTGTAAAAAATTTAAGGTCTAATAAAATTAGTTTATGTAACTATTAAAACAGATCAATAATGTCTTAACAAAATACATTTTGGTAACTATAGAAACTGATAATTTGAACGTTATGTAACGTTACCTAGTCTGAATTTAAAATTATGCAACCTGCACCTTGTTAACTTTCTCGATAATATGTCCTGTGTGTTTAATTTCACAGGAATGACACAAACATTCTTCGTTGTTTCGTCCGAAATAATGTGGGCCATAGTTTACAGTTATTTCTTCGCTAGGTATAATTTTTTATTGCACCGTCATTTCCTAATAACAATATATATCTGTGTTCGCCTCACAATCGGGTAAAATCAATTTAGTCAAATGGTTTTGTTTGTAGGTAGGTAACCTCCTAATGAGACAATAGTATTGTAAAAAAAACTTTTTCCACTTAAACTGTTGAAATATCCCTGTAAAAAATCTCTCTGTAAAACAAGTGTTCAGAAAAGCACGGTGGAGCATGTAGAAATGCCCGCTTGAACTGAAGAAATCTCCCTGTAAAAAAGGTGCTCAGAAGGAACAAAACCATACTACTTATTGAGTACCTACGTGCCTAATTTCTGAGTTATTATAGTTGTTGCGCCACGACAGATCTTACGATTTGTGGCAGTTGTCTGCCGTGACTTGCGCTGTAGTATCGAGTATAGGTGACCACAATAATATAACACCAAAACACCAAATAATTATGAACGGCGGATTAACGCCAAAAATGACTATATTGTATACACTTAACGCAATATATAATAGTATGTATATGACAAAGGGAGGGCGCCCCAATCTTACAATAGGTATAATTAAATACAAATGAACACACAAATATCAACACATAAATTATAAATCAATTGACCTGGTACGCTGATGAAAGTGAGACTTGAGACTCCTCCGGATCGATTGCGAAGACATCGACATCCAGCTGTCCCGCGGAAATCGCTGCGGCACGCACGCGACTATAATCGTCAACACACGGTTGATGCGGCGGCACACAATAAGGTGGTGGCGGCACGCAAAAGGTTAACGGTGGCACTGAAAATTATTACCAACGGCACACGTGATAGTGGCGGCACACGTGAAACGGCAAACCGTAGCGGCGGCACGCAAAATTGACGGCACACGTAGTAGTGGCGGCACACGTAGTAGTGGCGGCACACGTAGTAGTGGCGGCACACGTAGTAGTGGCGGCACACGTGAAACGGCAAACCGTAGCGGCGGCACGCAAAATTGACGGCACACGTAGTAGTGGCGGCACACGGAAACGACAAACCGTAGCGGCGGCACACGAAATATTAAAACCGCTCGTCGCACACTATACAAACTTTTAAAAATGCACGGCGACGCAAAAGCGTCGACCAACGGTTAAGCAACGACGACAAAAAAAACGTTGCGCGCACGGTACCGGTAACGCGCCTGCAAAAATCCACGGCCGGCGGCACGGACACAGCGTGACCGGTTCGAGAGAGAGGCAATGAAAATGGCCAGACTGGCACCACACGTACCTGTGAACGACGCGGTGTAATTGAACCGCGCCGAAACAGTCCGGTGTTTGAACATCCTCCCCCTGTGAGGCTTCGCATCACCAGTGATACGGCACGAACGTTAAAGATCAATCCTGGCATGAATAGTTGGTTGACGGCTGGGTATGGAATTAGATGGTGAACAGTCAACGAATGGCGCGACGGCTGAAGTGTACAATATTATACAGAGTTCATTTACAAATTTATATCAATAGTAGATAATTCAAAAAAAGAAAAATAGTGACATATGGTCCGTACAATTGTATAATTTCATAAAACAAAACAAAACAAGTATAATTTAAAATTATATAAACATAAACATATTAATGTGGTCACCAGATGTTATGACTCCCGAGAGGCTCAATGTTTCTAGGGGGGCCGTATGACAGCATAAAAATAATAAAACAAGAGGTGACTGTATAGAATTAGCGCAATGGCTGGTGACTATCAATCAACGGGTAACGGTACTAACTTAACAACTGGTCGGGTTATATCCCCCGTGCTGGTCAGCACCCGCGCAACACGGACAATCCCGTCAGCCCCTGGGGTTACCTCCATGACCCGGCCCAGTCGCCACATCAGCGGGGAACTGTGACTGTCAATAATCACCACCATGTCATTGACTTTTAAATTAGGAACATTTCGGGTCCACTTAGACCGCTCCTGGAGAGTGGTCAAATATTCGTTCGACCATCGCCTCCAAAACGCCTGATGGCACTGGTCAAGTAATTTCCATCTATCCCGGACATTGCGTTTGGAATCGGGGGTAGACCTCGGAGGAACGGCTATTAACGGCTGCCCTATTAAAAAATGCCCCGGCGTTATGCACTCTAAATCGCGGGGGTCGGTGGACGCAGGCGTTAACGGCCTAGAATTAAGCACCGCCTCTATGCGCGTCAACACGGTGGTAAACTCCTCGTAAGTGAGAACATGAGTCCCGATGACTCGAACTAATAATCGTTTTGTGGACCGCACGGCTGCCTCCCACAAGCCCCCGAAGTGAGGGGCGCTGGGGGGGTTGAAATGCCACTCAAACGATGGACGCGCATTCGCGATAACAACTTGATTTTCCGGGCTATTGATTAATTGGTGTAACTGTTTATTTGCCCCGACAAAATTTGTTCCGCAGTCAGAGTAGATGTCGCTAGGTAAACCCCGTCGGGCGACAAAACGATCCAACGCGGCCAAAAACGCATCGGTGGACAAGTTTGAAACTACTTCCAAATGCACGGCCTTAACCGTAAAACAGATAAACACGGCTATATAGACCTTATATACGCGCGGTTTTCGTAGTCCGAGATCACGCATTTGCAACGGTCCGGCAAAATCGACGCCTACGCGGGCGAACGGCCTACACGGTTGTACACGCGCAGCTGGTAGATCGGCCATTAACGGCTGGGCCGGTTGCGCGTTCAGCCGCACACACACAGTACAACGAGACATTACTCTATGTAGTACCGACCTGAGCGCAATTATCCAATACTGTCGCGAAATTAGAGCTGCCATGACTCGCGGTCCCGAATGGCAAGTTATTCTGTGCCATCTCTCGCACAGTAACTTGGCGAAATATGACTCTTTGGCCAATAGGACGGGATGTTTGCAGTCGTACGTTAACAGGGAATGTTTTAAACGACCCCCTACTCGGATCACCGAATCGGCGCCGATAAAAGGCGATAATTTTGACAATGATTTCGATGAAATATGATTGCTGTTCGACAGCTCGCGTCGTAGCACAGCAAAATGAACGCGTTGTGACACTAATATTAGCACACGAGTTGCCTCGTCGAGCTCTGACTTACACAAGTACTCAGGCGGACGGACTCCGAGTCTGCCCGTACGACAACATTCGATAAACCGGCGAACGCGCGCTATCACCCGGATCATACGATCAAACGAAGAAAAGCAACTGAACCATTCGGCACACACATCGTTAACAACAGCAGTGCAAACTACAGGCCGGAGTTCGGCTGAACCATCTGCGGTGATCTGTGGTGACGTTCGTTCCCAACCGGACGTATCGGTGTAAATTACCGGCGGCCCGCTCCAATATAAGGTCAAACTCGCTAACACGGACGGCATGACACCCCGTGACGCACAATCGGCGGGGTTGTTTGATGAGTCAATATGATGCCACTGACAAGTGGGTATCAAAGTATGAACCTGATGAACGCGATTCGACACATACGTTTTGAACGACTCGTGGGGAACGTTCAACCATGACAGAGCGATCATAGAATCGGACCACGCATGAATGCCGATTATATTTAATTGTGGCGCCAGTATAAGATTTAAACGACCTAACCAACGGGCCAATAAAACCGCCGCGTTTAGCTCAAGGCGCGGCACAGTTAACGATTTCACGGGTGCTAACTTGGTCTTTGACCCAAGTAAAAAAATACAATTATCTGGCGGGGCATCAATAATGCGTACGTACACTACGGCCGCGTAGCCAAGCTGCGAAGCGTCGCAAAATCCCAACAGTAAGCATGGTGAGCCTTGTCGCGCATTGATGTACCGTGGAACTTCAATCGTGATCAATGATGCCAAATCCGCAACGAAGCCAGCCCAATCCGCGTGGATACTATCGGGTAGGGGAGCATCCCATGATAGCCCACTACACCATGTCCGTTGCATTATAGATTTTGCTAAAAATGTTGACGGCGCGAAAAAACCTAGCGGGTCATAAATACTTGCTACTAGTGACAATATGCCCCTTTTTGTAAATACTGGCGTGGGGTCAGGACGGAGAGCACAACAAAAACTATCACGATCCGGATGCCATTCGATTCCTAATATTTTTGTGCTATACCCATCGACCGTGTCAAACGGGAGTGGTCCCGAACCGCGACTATCAACCGGAATTGTATTTAAAATTGATAACGTATTTGCTGACCACTTTTTTAGCTCCAAACCCGACCTTCTCAACACCGTAATTAAGTTTAATTGGAGTTCGAGCGCCTCCTGTTCTGTATCCGCCCCGACACAGATATCGTCCACATATGTTTGGTGAGTTAAGGCCTTGCGTACCGAAATACATTCATCGCAATCTTCGGCCGCTATGGATTTTAATACGCGCAATGCGAGAAACGGTGCGCAGTTCACCCCGTATGTTACCGTATCAAGCTCGTACTCAACGAGTTTTTCGAGCGGAGACGACCGCCAAAACACGTGCTGGAGTGTGCGGTACTCCGGTAGGACCAATATTTGGCGGTACATTTTACATATGTCTGCCGTAAAAACTATCTTTGGCACACGAAAACGGGTCAGTATATCGACGATGTCTTGTTGTAATTTGGGGCCCTTCAATAGACACTCGTTTAATGACAAACTTTGAGGACCCTTCGCAGACGCGTCAAATACGACGCGGATTTTGTTGTCACCATCTGCAGATCGATACACGGCGTGGTGCGGTATAAAGTATGTCCCGGGTGTTTTTGCCACTGACATATGACCTAATGCTAAGTATTCGGACATAAAATTACAGTATAACTCTCGTAGTTTGGAGTCCGTCGACAGCCGTTTCTCGAGATTTTCAAAGCGTTTGATCGCGTGTTCACGGGAACCTGGAAAACTTAGCGAAGACAAGGCTGTGCGCGTCGGTAATGGCACGGTGAATCGTCCAGACGGCAGTCGCTTGTGTTCCGCTACGAATACTTCTTCACATCGGCCTTCATCCGTGAAACTCTCGGGGGCGGTTACCGGCTCCTCCACGTGCCAGAATTTTTCCATTAAATCTTGAATTGAGACGGTTAATGACACCGGGAACGATGCGTGGCATTCGACCTCAGTTTGGAGCACCGGCCCGATCAGAATCCATCCAAAAATAGAGTTGAACGCCGTGGGTAGATCGGCAGCTACAGTAACTTTCCGGCCGTCCATTATCTGCGCGAATAAGTCGGCACCCAATAACATATCAACGGAAGACGCAATATTGAACGTCGGATCTGCAAGGGCCAAGTTCGCGAATCGATCCTTGACGCTGGTGTCTAGAGATCGACGTGGCATGTTGGACGTGATCGACGGCATTACCCACGCCTTTGTTTTCAATTGTGGTTCCGTAGCAAATCTTGGTTGGACGACACAATCGACCATACCTCGGACATCAGCAACTGCTGCGCCGGATAGGCCAGTAATCGGTGCTGTCCAGTTTGTCAGCCGGAGTCCTAAACGAGTAACACAGGACACAGTTATGGCACTTATTTGGGATGCTGAATCGACGATGGCACGGGCCGTTTGCCAGGTACCACAATGGTCACGGATATGAAGGAGGGCGGTGCCCAATAGCACGGCTGATGAATCGTCGATCCTGTGTGTCGTTGATGCAGCACAGAAGGGTGCATCGTCACTAGATGGACCGCTCTCTGAATGGCGTCGTGTTGAAAACCCATGAAGCAGCGTATGGTGTTTCTTTGAACATGTTGCACAGCGGAGTTTTGAATGACATTTGTTGGCCCAATGATTGGTCGATAAACACGTGTAGCATACACGGTTATCACGAGCCCATTTGTTGCGGTCCTCGACCGACAACGACGCGAATTTCCGACAGTCAGTAATTGTATGCCTTTCACGGCAGTTCGGACAGGAGTCACTCTTGGAGCTCGATGGCTTCGAAACGACTAACGATGTAGTGGTTGGTTTGAACGGAACCTTTTTGACGAACGCGTTGCTGTGTGATGTAGACTGTGGTCGATTATTGGGCCTTTTCTGATGATCTCCGGCAATCTCCAAAATCGATACACGGGACTGTACAAAATTCAGCAAGTCAGTCACAGTCGGAAACTCCGGGGGGGCGGACGACTCGAATAATTTGCGTGTGGATGCCGGGAGACACCGAAAAGCCATGGAGAACACTATGAATGCTCCGAGGTCCTTGATGTTCAATGCATTTAATAACGCAATATTTTCGGAAAAGAGCGATACAAAATTATTGAGATCGAACAACGTTTCTTGCTGAGACACCGGTGCGTTGAGTAACTTGTCGATCAATGCATTCGCGACTAATCGCGGGCGATGAAAACGCGACGATAACGTGGACCACGCGAGGTCGTAATTGTCACTGGACACGGGTATATTGCGTATGGCGTCAGCTGCAGCACCCTGCAAACATCCGATCAAATGTTGCATTTTGTCGATTTTCGGTATGTCGGTCCTATCGCCAACAAGCGCGAAGAACCGATCGCGGAACGTGGGCCAATAATTAAAATCACCATTGAACGACGGTAACGGGATTTCAGGTAGTCTCGATGTCGGCTTAACTGGTACATCGCTGGCATGATTTTGTTCAGTTAGACCGCGCTTAGCATTCTTGAAATTATCGTAATTGCCTTGCATGGCGATTGCCGTAATAGCATTGATAATAGAAAGCACTTCGGCTGGCAACTCGGGTGAATATTCGCTTTCGGCATTTATTTCCAATAAACTGTCTAACGCATCATTGTCCGCTGCTTCGAATTGTGCCCATAAATCATCCAACGTCGCAGCCGCTATATGCAGTTCATCCATAAGACTAGGATCAATTTTTGCGCGTTTAGCGAGGCTATCAATTGATCGAATTTTCTTGACAGCGATAGTGCGTTTTGTGTCAGCTCTGGTGATAAGACGTCTGACGCGTTTTATTTCCTTATCTTCTGCTGTCTCGCCCATGTTGACTGTTGTCTGACTATGACGCGAAATCAATGACGAAAGTTGGCAATAATCGATCGACGACAACGAGGCAATAACCTACGGAACAAATTAGGTGCCTATCACGAATCGGGTATAGCCTATTGAAATGCGCGCTGTGCCGTTATATATATAAAGAAATAATAATAAACCCAGAGTGTAATAATAAATATTAATTAAACAAATAATAATTTGATATGACGAATGCGACACTAATGTCGACTTGAATGAATTATTTGAAACCGAAGCTATCCCTAGCAATAATCGCTGAATTATGAACAATATAAAGGGTCACTCGTTGATTGAACACTCGAACCATAACGCTAATTAAATAAATAAAAGAACCACGCTCTGCTACCAAATGTTGCGCCACGACAGATCTTACGATTTGTGGCAGTTGTCTGCCGTGACTTGCGCTGTAGTATCGAGTATAGGTGACCACAATAATATAACACCAAAACACCAAATAATTATGAACGGCGGATTAACGCCAAAAATGACTATATTGTATACACTTAACGCAATATATAATAGTATGTATATGACAAAGGGAGGGCGCCCCAATCTTACAATAGGTATAATTAAATACAAATGAACACACAAATATCAACACATAAATTATAAATCAATTGACCTGGTACGCTGATGAAAGTGAGACTTGAGACTCCTCCGGATCGATTGCGAAGACATCGACATCCAGCTGTCCCGCGGAAATCGCTGCGGCACGCACGCGACTATAATCGTCAACACACGGTTGATGCGGCGGCACACAATAAGGTGGTGGCGGCACGCAAAAGGTTAACGGTGGCACTGAAAATTATTACCAACGGCACACGTGATAGTGGCGGCACACGTGAAACGGCAAACCGTAGCGGCGGCACGCAAAATTGACGGCACACGTAGTAGTGGCGGCACACGTAGTAGTGGCGGCACACGTGAAACGGCAAACCGTAGCGGCGGCACGCAAAATTGACGGCACACGTAGTAGTGGCGGCACACGGAAACGACAAACCGTAGCGGCGGCACACGAAATATTAAAACCGCTCGTCGCACACTATACAAACTTTTAAAAATGCACGGCGACGCAAAAGCGTCGACCAACGGTTAAGCAACGACGACAAAAAAAACGTTGCGCGCACGGTACCGGTAACGCGCCTGCAAAAATCCACGGCCGGCGGCACGGACACAGCGTGACCGGTTCGAGAGAGAGGCAATGAAAATGGCCAGACTGGCACCACACGTACCTGTGAACGACGCGGTGTAATTGAACCGCGCCGAAACAGTCCGGTGTTTGAACAATAGTAATAACTAATATGTAAATATGTTTATAACAAGGGGCAAGGATAATAATCCATAAAAATAAAATTTAAAAAAAAAACAGTATAACGTGTATATTATAACTGAAAAACTACTCGTTCGAGTTTTGGTTTAGATATAATATGCTTTATTTATAAGCATAAAAAAGTGAACATTCTTAAAAATTCACAATGTATAAACATTAAACAAAACAATTTATTTATTTGGGTTGTATGTGAATTTAATTTATTTAAATACATAAAAACTAGGTATAGTCCAACCATTATAGGCACATGTGCAAATTATGTATTATACCTATGCATGATACAATTTTATTATGAAATATATTTACGATAATAATGCACCTTTCAGTGCGGCGAGATCAAAAACCAAAATATTGGGGTTAAGACTATGGGAATAATCTAGTAAACATGTGCAATGCATTTTGAAGCTGTGTTTAACAAAATTATACAAAAACATTTGTGTATACCTAATATATTTTAAAATGTCGTAATTTATTAAACACAACGTGAGGTCTTTGAATTTTGGGCGTAGAAACAAAAACGTTATCTGTAGTCCTGGTACTGGACTATTTTAAAAACTACTCACTTATAATATGTTAAAATAAATATACGAGTTAAATATTATAAAAGTCTCAAAAATACGATAGCGCGTGTGTAACAGTCATTAGCAATAATAATAGGTAATCTATTATATACGTATTATAAAAATAAAAAATAAATTTCAAACTCATACAGTCATACAGCAAACCTACATATAATAAATTGTCTTAATTACTATAGTAAATAATATTAAATAATGGAAGCCTAAAGGTAAATTAAAAGTTTATTTCAAAATATTTTACAATAATAATACTAATAAAATGATAGTTCACGGAGATAGTGCCTAGCCAATACCTATAAGATAATGACCACACCAATTTGTTTGAATCTAAAGATAAATTAACTAAATAAAAATTAATTAAAGTATTGGAAATAATAAATAGTACAGCATTTTGATCAGAAATTATCCATCGTCTCGTCTAATGGATACACATTGACCATAATAAGAGTAGATGGTAAATAGGAGAATAATATAATATTACGTAATTAATTAATTTTTTTAAATGTCGGTATCTAAGTATAATCAAACATTTTTTCAAATACCTATAGATTAATATATTACAATACATAGGTACAGATTGTATTGGTGACCGTGACAGTTTTTTTAAATGAAACAATAAAGTTATATGTACTCCTGGAATAATATATAAGCTAATTTATACCCACGTACATAATAATGTTCAAATAAATCCACTTGTGAAACTACAAATGTCTCAAAAATACGCTTTGTATGTTCAAACAATTTTAATTTTACAGCTTTTATTGTATGCATTTGAAATTTCAAATAACCCATGTCGGGGGCTGGCGTGACGTCTCGCCACCCCCCCCGACGGGTTTTTCGATATCCCCCCTGAACGAAGAACGTACGAATGTTTATATTGCGCGTACAAATACGTACGAATAGAGGGCAATGTATTGGTACAAAAAAAATTTCAAATAATCCATGTCGGGGGCTGGCGTGACGTCTCGCCAACCCCCCGACGGGTTTTTGATATATCTGAGCCATTTTGTTCATACAAATTCTGTAACAATGCTTACAAATTCGTACAAAAAGCATACTAAAAGATAGAAAAATAAAATTTCAATATTTTGAAAATGGGGGGGGGGGCTGGTGTGACGTACGTCATCTTGTACAGTTACACTGTAGTATTGTAGGAGAAAAACGTCGACGCCGGTTAAATATAAATATAGGCAATACAAATTGTATGTTATTAGTTTAGTAGGTACAATGTTTTTGGAATTTCAGAATTAAATATAAACAGCAAAAAAAAAAAAAAAAAAATAGTACATTATTGCTACATTATATTCAATTATACAATAAACTTATACAATATTGCCAAAATAATAAAAAAAAAAAGTACGCCGTGTGCTCTATTAAAACCTCTAGTAAAAATCGTCGAGAAAATCATCGGCAAGCATCGTAGGTATTCTACAGTAGTTATATACTAGTACTATAGTTACTAGTTATTAAATATCTATGATAGTATCACGGTTTTAGTTGATGTATAACGCGTTATAAGTACCTAATGGATATTGTGATATGATTAATTTGTAATTTATTATATTTACCTAATATAGGTCAATTTTTTGTTTAGTACCATAGATAATTATATAATATGTATTATACCTAGACTGACATACCGTCTTCGCTCAGAATAGTTTTTCTTATACAATGATATACCTATCATTGAATTCAAATTTAATACCTTCCATCCATTATACAGTGACCCCCTTGTAACCTACTGTACTGCAGAGCACCTCTTTTAAATTTAAATTTGATAAATATTGTCAAAAATTGAACATTAAATGCTTATAAAAAAAATGTTAAAATTAAATTAAATTCAAATTTAATACCATCCATTATACAGTACCCACATGTAACATACATTACAGCAGAGCGATATATCCACTTACCCACCTTTTTTTATTTATTTTTGTGAAAGGAAATCGCTACATTTTCACTATTGACCCCCCCAAAGTACCAACTAGAATCACTTTCCTATCAGAAAAGCTACTGTTGAAGAAAATTCAAGCACTTTTACTGTCCTAAAACGTGATGACGGACAAATAAAAAAAAAAATCAATAAAAAAACTACAAATTTTTGTCACAAAAAAGAAAACACATGTTGACTGATTTTGAACCACTAGTTGATTGAATATTTTTGGAATGTTTAGACACAGAAAAAAAGTGTCGTATGAAGTTGGCTTTACCTACCACATTTACTCTACCTACAGTGACTACAGACCAACTCCGAGGTAGGTAGGTACCATCTTGCACAGTTACACTGTAGAAATGTAGGAGAAAAACGTCGACGCCGGTTAAATATAAATATAGGCAATACAAATTATATGTTATTAGTTTAGTAGGTACAATGTTTTTGGAATTTCAGAATTAAATATAAACAGCAAAAAAAAAAAAAAATAGTAGATTATTGCTACATTATATTCAATTATACAATATTGCCAAAATAATTTTAAAAAAGTACGCCGTGTGCTCTATTAAAACCCGTTCGTAAGGAAAAATCGTCGAGAAAATCATCGCCAAGCATCGTAGGTATTCTACAGTGTAGAAATCGATAGCCACTGTTTTTCTTGACGAACTTTTTGTCAAAACTCGTTTATAATAATAAAGCAACCCGAATCTTTGGGAACAATAAATGTTCATAAATGCTTAAGTTATTTAAATGTAAAATGTAAATGTGGAACGATGAATGTATTGATTTTACAATGATGTGTGTTTTTTTATTATATTTTATTTTTTATTTTTTTTTGTGTCTGTCATCACCTTTTAGGACAGTAAATGTGCTTGGACTTTCTTCAACAGTATCTTTTCTGATAGGAAAGTGAATCTAGTTGGTACTTTGGGGAGTCAAGAGTAAAAATTTCACAGTAATTTTCAAAAGCGCCTTGAAAAACAAAAGAAAAAGGTGCTCTGCTGTACAGTATAACCCTAAGTTGGTTTTACCTTTCTAACCAATGAAACAATTTTGTTAAATTTCAAATTTTACAAATTTGTAAATAATCATCATTAAGATATAATATACGTTTTTGTCAACCACAATTCACAAATAATACACGTACACGAGAAGGTGTCAGATACTAGACTTATTCACTACAATGACTATTGACTAGCGAGTGCCTACAGTGACTACAGACCAATTCCGTCGGACTAATTCCGAGGTAGGTAGGTACCACTTGTACATTTACACTGTAGAAATGTCGGAGAAAAACGTCGGCGCCGGTTAAATATAAATAGGCAACATAAATTGTATGTTATTAGTTTAGTAGGTACATTGTTTTTGGAATTTCAGAATTAAATATAAACAGCATAAAAAAAAAAAAATAGTACATTATTGCTACATTATATTCAATCCGAATCTTTGGGAACAATAAAATGTTCATAAATTCTTAAATTATCTTAATGTACCTGTATATACGGTATACCCATATAGGTGTACCTACTTCAATTTTATATATTTTACAAACCGGGGTCTTAAACATTTCAGAAAACAATTTTTCAATGCGGGCGCTTACAAATCTATAATTTGAATATAAAAATAAAACAAAAATAAAATGTTTGTGTACATTTTTATATTCTCGTAACAAAAAAAAAAAAAAACGGGTAAATTTAAATCGCTCTGCAGTATCAAGTGGTTCACTGTAGACTGTCACTTTTGACTTCCAAAGTACCAACTAGATTCACTTTCCTATCAGAAAAGATACTGTTGAAGAAAATCCAAGCACTTTTACTGTCCTAAAACGTGATGACATACACAAAAACAAAAAAAAAAATAAAAAAACACACATCATTGTAAAATCAATACATTCATCGTCTCACTCAGAATCTAATTTGTACACCTAAGACCTAACTAAGCAAATTAATAACAATAACAACAACAACAACAACAATATTAATAATAAACTATTATTATTTTGTTTATTGTATCTATATTGTTACGATTATTACGGTTT